GGGGGGATCACTGAAATCTTTGGAAGGATTCAGAGGGGGGACCACTCAAATTTGCTTAGAAAATGAAGACATGGGGGGGGGATCGCTAAAGTCATCAAATGTTATTAGGGGGATCACTTCAGTGAAGTAACATTCAAAGGGGGGATCGGCCAAATTTCGCCTTTTCTAGCCCCAAGGTTCACAGCGCTGTAAATACTGTCGAGGGTAAACAACGGAAGTGTTATCAACATTGTCATCATTATCATCATCGTTATTGTCATCGTTATCCTCTTCTCATCATTATTGTTATTAATATTATTATATAATAATTCCGAAAAAGATTGCAAATTACCGTGAATATTCTGTTTTTTGCTCATGTTTTAACAGTCACCCCTTTTTAACGCAGTCGTTTTCAACAAACATTTAATTTGTCGACCTAACGAGTGTCACATTCGCCACAAATGCTCTAAGGTGCGGCAACGTGTTCCAGGCCCGTTCCTGGATTTACAGCTACGAAACCTGTGCAACCACGAACCCCTGAACCACAGAACTACGAAAACTACCGGTATGAGTATGAAACCTCCCACGAAACCTATGAAACCAAATCCATGAAACTACGAAACCCATCATGAAAATCACAAAACCCAGGGCACTACGAAAAGCTCCCATGAAACAATTCTCTCTTGATGAAACCTATGATTATGAAATCTACGAAGCCTATGAAAACCACGAAACCTTGAAATCACAAAACTCAGGAAACCGATGAAAACCATGAGACGTCGAAACTTTGATAACTACGTAATACCATAAAGACCTTAAACCTAATACCATGAATGCTATGAAACCTCTCTCCTCCGCAGAGGCCTTTTTGTGTTGTAGGGAGGCTGGGGAGAAAGAAAAAGAGAGCCGGGGCACGATGGGAAGTGGAACGCGAGAAGAGACAAGAGAGGCTCCAGTCTTTTCCCTCTTGCCATCGTTCCCCGCGCGCTATCTATTTTTCGATTATTGCTATTTTTATTGGGATACCCAGCGGGGAGCCTCTGTACAGCAGAGAGCAATGAAGCCTTGATTCCTTAGCCTATGTACTGCCGTCCCTTCCACTTTCACGATCTTTTCCCTAGGGAGGAGAGAGGGTGGGGAGGAGGAGAAGTACACAGGCTTTGGATCCTGAGTGATGTATTCCCACTTGGTTACGAAGCTTGGGGTAATAAAACAAAATAAATCACCTTATGACTCCCTAAGCCTCGGATCCAAGTATGAATTTTAATATATCGAAATTGGTCCATAGATATTGGCATTATATGGATATAGGGTATTATTTTTGCTCTTGTTGGCATTGTTTTCCCAGCGTGATCCTTAGATAGGGTACCTATTTGTAAATTGTATCAGCTAAAATTCAAGTGCGTAAATGCCCAGCTACACGAGAACCAAGTCATCTGTTAAAACTGAACTATCCTTTAGAGTATGAGGAAAGCAATTTGATAATAAGGTTTGCGTTTTGTAGCCATTAAATTCTTAGTTTTTGTTTTTCCCTTGAATAGGGTGTCATTTTGCGGATTTGGACCACAAATTTGGCCTCGGGCTACGTCCCTAGGGCGCCAGACGAATTTTACGACAGGTTGAAAATTCATGCGTTTAGTTGTTCCCTTCACACGGAGCCACCTTAATAGCAAGAAAATTTAAACTTAATTCCGAGGTTGTCCCAGCGCTCCAAAAAAAGTCCCGTGTGGACACAGCGCGAAAATATTGAACGATCGGCGTGCGGAACCAAGTGTCTAGGCAAATTTTCTAGCCCAACGAAAATTCGCCCGGTGCTGTGTGAACATAGCCTCAGCTTCCGTTTATCTCATCCTTAAACAGTGTCAGGGTTTAAGACCCTGGGCGGCACCCACCTATCTGAAAATTATGAGAATACTTCTCCCCTCTCGCTCGCCCCCGGGAGAGAAATTCAGCAGTCTTGACTCAAAGGAAAGAACGGGCTCTGCTCTGGAGATGCTGTCTGTCCCGTTCAAAGCTTTGACTCTTTGTGTAAATCGTGAAAAATTCCCTTAATAAAAAAAATATCTCTCCCTCGTCTTAATCTCCTCTATGGGTTCGTTTTACCGTCAATTCGCCTTGATTTAAGTCGCGTTATTTTCAAATACCTTAAGGGTTACCCGCGAGCTAATAATAGTCTTGTTTGGATGACGTGTTTCTTGTCACTAACCACCTGACCATACGGCGTGGTCTGGGAACGATAACTGCGTTGTTACTCATTTGCCTGAATTGGGTCCTGTCGCCGTTTTGGGGTTGAAAAGGTACGTTTTTGTGCTTTAATACGAGTAGGAAATCGTGATATTTACTTAAAAAGGTATCAGTAAGATACAAATATGTTTTTGCCTTGTTCTACGTTTGTTGCCAATCGTTATACCTATTTTAAACAAGCCTAAAACTACTTCCGCCACGTTTAAAAACGTGGCTACTTGTCCTAAATATAACTTAACTTAAACCAGCTTAACAAATTGAAGAGAGTTTTGAATGCCTCAGCCAGGCTAGTTTGTAATGCCCCTAGGTTTTGCCACATCTCACCCCTTCTTCGTGGTCTGCATTGGCTTCCTGTTAAAGCCCGGATACAATTTAAGATACCGCTTATTACGTTCAAAGCAATTCACGGCCTTGCTCCTAAATATCTATGCGATTTACTAACACTTAAATCGTCCTTATATAACCTTAGATCTTCAGTTAGTATTTTACTTTCTATGCCAACTGTTCGGTCGAAGACGTTAGGTGATAGAGCTTTTATGGTAGCAGCGCCAAGGCTTTGGAACTCTCTTCCAAAAGAACTTCGTGCGATTACTATTGTGAACAGTTTTAAGGCGCATATTGAGACTTATCTTTTTAGAACTTTATATTGGTGAGCAATTTTATATTCAGTTCTTACTTGCATGCATATATATTCTTTTTATTTTTATTTTTAAATGCATTATCTTTTATTAAATTCTTGTAAAGTAATGCAGTTTTAATGCGGTGCTGATCATTTTAATGTTAAGCTGCGCACAATGAGTTCATAAATTATTATTATTATAAATTATTATCTGTATGTTTGTTTCTGCTTTCTTCTTAAAATAACCAACCTTTTTAGGCTATTTCTTTTTTTAATACCACTTTAGTTTGTCTCGTTTTTGGGTGCTGGTGCATGGAGTTATGAGAAAAAAATAAAATTTGGTGTCAAATCACGTCAAATGAAACCCGACAAGAGAAGACCTGTTTCCTTCCTCTGTGAACTTAACTCTTCTTATTTATTTGTTTATTTTAATATTTACTTATTTTTTCGTGCAAATTCTGCGAAAAAAATTGTCGTGTTTCGTCAACATAGCCGCCTGGTTGAAAACCACCAATCTTGCATGCATACAGCCAGGCTGCGTCAGTTGTGTTCATCTTTAAATTTAATTTATTGATGTGTACTAATATACATGTATGCGTTGAGTGTTCATAGATCGAATCGAAGTTTTGCTCAAAATGAGACTTAGATGTGATGTTGTTGTTAACTTGTAACTGTTGTAATAACTCTGTTTTTTTCTGTATCCCTTTAAACATCAGCCATTGTCACAGTTTAGTTTGTTAGTTTAGTTGTAAGTTAGTTATTTTGTTTTATTATTATTATTTCTTTCTTTCCTATATATTTTGTGATTTATGTGGTTAATAAGGCATATTAAAAAATGCAAACAAAACAAGAAATTTTGCATAGAATTATAGATCCCAAAGCCCAGACAATGGGATAGTTGGTCAATGGAAATCAGGCCTATGGGAGGTTTTGATACCGTTATAATTTAATTTTTTTTCTTATGAAAATACATACAGAAAATATGGTATACCTAGCAATATTTGTAGACATGAAGCCATAGGCTAATTTCACTCAGTTCTCAATTAACATTTTGCTCAAGATGCTGTAAATCACTATGGGTATAAAATAGATTAGAATCATCAGCAATTAAATGGAAATCAAAAACAGATGAACAATTGGTGAAATCATTAATATAAATCAGGAGTAATACTGAGCCAAGCACAGAGCCTTGTGGAACCCCACATGTTATTTGCAGTGGGTCTGAATCTGAATTGTTTACAGAAATAAATTGCTGTCTGTTGGTTAAGTATGAGCGGAACCACTCATTTGGTAAACCACAAATTCCATAATGTTGCAGTTTAGCTAAGAGAATGCTGTGATTTACTGTATCGAAGGCTTTACTTAAATCCAAAAAAATCCCAGAGGAGTATAATTTGTTTTCAATGGCTCTTTGGATTTTATCAGTGGTAAGCATAGAAGCCTGAGTAGTGGAGCATCCACTATGAAAACCAAATTGATTATCATCTAGTACATTATGTTTATCAAGAAAATTAACTAATCTATTGAACATGAGCTTCTCCATTATTTTACTTATCTGGCACTAAGCCCAAAGAAAAAGAACAATTAAATAAATAAGATAATTATAATGAATAACACAAGATGCCCTTCAATAATTTAAGAATTTTTACTGGAATGCTATGTGGCCCCAGTGCTTTACTTGTATTTAAGCTAGAAATAATACTGTAAAATTCTGAAAGTAAGCTTTGGGGCTTATATTTTTCAAAGGTCCTTTTTGTGGGACATATTTTTGGAGAGGCTTATAATCGGAGGGGCTTATATATGGAGGGAAATTTGCGTTTCAAAATCGATTGGGGTAGCCTTATAGTTAGACATTTTCCAAGTACAAGCCCGGGGCTTATATTTGGAGGGGTAATTTAACAGAGGGTTTTTTGCGTTACTGGTTTGGGGGCCTATAATTATTTGGAGGGGCTTATACATGGAGAGGCTTATTTTCGGAATTTTACGGTATTGTCAACTTCTGTTGGTGATACTGGTGATAAATAATAACTGTTGCATTGTGAATTTGTTCTATTGCCAGGTTGAATACCATTGGCCAACATTGGCCCAACTGAGGCAAAATATTTGTTGAAGGCATTAGCTATACCTTTGGCATCAGTTAAGGTGTTACCATCTACTGTTAATCAATTCGGGAAGGACAATTTACTACGCTTAGAGCTAATAAGCTGCTTAATACCCCTCCATGTGGCTTTTGCATCATTAACATGGTAAGTAAAGTATTCTTTATAATAGAGGTTTTTACTAACAATTAAAATATCCTTTAGTTTGTTCTGGTAAATTTTATAGCAACAGTGATTACTTTGAGACTTACTTGTTATGTAATGCTTAAATAGCTTATTTTTGGTTTTAATAGATTTACAAATACCCTGAGTAATCTAAGGTTTAGACAGAGTAAAAGGAATCAAACATCTGATTGATGTCATTTTCCCTAAAAACATTATCCCACTGAATTGACTGGACATCTGCTGAAAAGTTATCCTGATCAAAGCAAGAATAATCATATACAAACCTGGTCATATTGCTTGCTGTCCAAGATAATTTGTTGATAATTAAGAAGTTTGGTAAATGATCTGTAAGGTCACAAACCAAATTTCCATTAGTAGCAACAAATTCATTAAAATTAAAGATAATATTTTATTAATTAATGTTGCTGTGTGATCAGTGATTCTTGTAGGCTGCAGAATGTGTGGTAAGAAGCCATAAGAAATCACCGTATTAATGAATTCTTCAGTTATCTGACAGTCTTGAAAGTTCAGAAGATTTATGTTAAAGTCACCCATGAATAAACACCACTTATTATTTTTTGAACGTTTCTCTAGAGTTGAGAAAAGATATTTGTTATAGTCCTCAGTTTTACCATTTGGGTGTCTATACATGACAGCGCACAGAATATTTTTATATGGATCACGATTAATCTCAATTCATAGAGATTCAAACTCTTTTGTCGTTGAACAAAGATCACCTCGAATATGAAATTGAATCCCCTCTTTGATGAAGAACCCCACATCACCAGCATTAGTCAGAGTTGGCTTGGAAACAAAATCATATCCTTCAATAGCAATGTTGCTAGTTAGATCACAGTTACTTTTTACCTTTGTTTCGGAAAGGCCAATAACATCGAATGAATTCTGTAGATCTGATAGCAGCATTGTCAAACCATCATGGTTAGCAGAAAGGCTTCATTAATGTTGAAATGAATTGTAGAAAAGAAAGGCATAGATTTATTTAATTGCTCTGAGAAATATCGTCATTAAGAAAGTCGTCTAGAGTATAGTATTTAAGGTCTGGCTGTATGTTATTTTCCACATCATGATTATTAAGACTGGATATCTTGTTAAGTTTAGATAAGTCAAACTGCGGTAAGTTATCTATAAGTGTATGACATAATGTTGCTATATTGCTGTTTAAGAGCAATATAGCTTCAAGACGTCCAAATCCTATTTCTTGTTTATGGCACCTGAGCAGGGCTTTGTGAGTCTCTACAAAGATTATGATACGACCATAGAATGTCCAGATGTACTTATACTTCATATCCTTTTAATCTTTCAAGCTGTCCTTAAAAAGATCCTTGTTGATTTGTCAGAGTAAGGTTTTCTGAGATATATATCTGTTCTCCGAATTTAATCGAAGATCCAGGTCTTGTGTTGTCTTATTCCGTAGAAATTTTCTTGCTTTATAGAAGCGATCTCTCAGCGCTCTTCGTACAAATTTCACAACTATATTGGGAGCCCTGACGCGCGAATTCGATAAAGCTTGAGATCCTTCCCTAACTATCTCTGTAGGACTGTTTTGGTAGTAGATGACTCACGGATAAATCGCTTTCCGTTATATGTACTCCAATTAATGAGCCTACTTTTATTGCAATTTCCTTCGTGTTTTCGTCTTCTGTCTCAGGGATGCCAGATATTTCTACGCACTCGCGGCGAGAATACTGTTCTAAATTATTCAATGAAGCTTCGCAGAATTGCAGTTTGCTGACCAATTTAGCATTTTCGGCTTCTAAACTCGCATTCCTTGCCTCAAGTGAATCAAGTCTTGCTTGTAGAGCCTTGTAGTTGTCGTCAACTTTTTTGAATAGGGCGTCTAGCCTGGAATGATGGGGGGCTTGAGTTTGAATCGGCTTGAGTTTGCTCTCGAGCAGCGACTCAAGGTCCTTCAAAGAAGGCCGTCGTTTGATGGCATTTCGCTTGTTACATAAACGGACGCATGGAGACACCAAAAAATAAAGAAAAACGCTGTAAGAATCTGCATTAAGCAGTGAACGGAAGACATATCACACGCAGTAAGCAAAACACATCCGCCATCTTTACTGACCCAAAACAGTAAAAGGTTCAAGATTGAGTTCACAGCCCGGGGTTCACAGTTGAGTGCACCAAATGCTTCTCTAGTTAGGATGCTACAATAAAACGAATCATAAACGTTTTTTGCCTTCAACAACTGACAGTCATGTAACTTTGGCCACAAATTGTCTTTAGAGTTTTCAGTTGGTCTGTGTAACAACAATGAAAGAAAATTGCTTCACCCGATTAATAATAATGTGAACGTAATCAAAAGTGTATGTTTCGTTTCTTTTACCTCCAGGGTAATTAAAACAAAGATTTTGAATGGACTAACGTTAAATTCCGTTGACATGTTATAATTTATTTTACAAGACCAATAATTCTTAAGAGCGTTCAGACACTTTTAGGTGTGCAATATACAAAAAGCCGTTGTTGCAAGCAGTAGTTTCAAGTTGTTTGTTGCTGGTGGGTTTCACGGCTTCTCACATTAAGCTATTGTCTATTTGTTCAATGCTCTTACAGATTCCAACAGATTCCAACGGATTCCAACGCCTCTTGCATTTCGTTAATTGCTTGGTAGCCCTCGAAGGAGCCACACGAATATGCTAATTTGCCAATTTGTAACTCAAGCCTAGTTTAAGGTGACTAGACCCAGTTTTTTGGGGGGGTACCATCCTACTTTGAAGCTCTCTGGTATCCCCGCCTTTACTTTTATCGTAGAATGGATAACATATAGATCAATCTACAATATAACATAAAATTTTGGGCGATCGGAGTAAGGGCCTGTTTACATGGAGGTGGGGGACCCCAGCTAGGTGAGGTAACCCGCTTAGGTGAGGTAACCCGCCTGTCCATACAATCTCTCATTTTAATGTGATCACGTTTACATGTTAGGTGGGGTAACCTGCCACATGTTACCTCACCTACCTGGGGGCCCCCACCTTCATGTAAAAAGGCCCTAAATGTCACGTGGTTATAATGCCACGCCCCTTTGAGATCTAAGTCGAAAATCTGCTGTTGCCGGCATTTTTTCGTGAAAATCTCTCGGCTACACATAGTGCGCATTAGCGCCTTGCACTGAACAGAGTTCCACCAAAATCGCAAAGACTCAATTCGAGAAATTCAGCGGTTTTCAAATTTAGGTCATAATTTATGAGAAAATGATAAGCAAACTTTACACGATTATATCTAGTAAACTATGAGATTCATCCCTTTATTTTGGGCATCGTTATAACAGATGGGTCCTTGCAAGTCAGCAAAACGCTTTAGGGCCTTGTAAATGCGCGCGATTTCGAGCAAAGCAAACATATAGTTATAGTTTTAGCTATTTGTTGACGTTTGTCAGCGTTTAAGAGTCCTTCTCACGAAAAAAGCATTTTCTTAAAAATTAATAGTTTTTTTCCTTTAAATTTTTTCAGGGCCACAATTGATTAACTAACTACCCGGACTCTGAACTTCATGGGCATTGAAAAACTGTGACATTATCTTCTATAAGCCCAAACTTGAGTAAACATTGAAGATTTTTAGCGTTTTGGCTGAGTTTGTGCTTTGGGAGTTGTCTGTTGTTTGTAGTCTGTCATTATACAGCATTCTTGTTTAGCACGCGTGCAATGACCACGCTTGGCTGACTTCCGAATGCTCACCGAGACATGAGAAAATAGCATGAGAAAATAGAAGGGATTCCCGTCACGAGTTGGTTAAATTATTGGCTTGCATTAAACGTATGAAAAAATGATATTTTTTTTCGTAGTAAGTAGATTTATTGTGTAGCACTTCTTGATTTTTTTGCAAAGGCACAAAGAAAGAGTATTTATTACAATTGCAGTTAGCCGATTTAACTTGCAGTTTGTAGTTGTGATTGGACCTGTTACGTTTTGAAGCGAACTCAAAAAAATCGGAAAAACAAAGGCTATTCAATCCGAATACAAGTTTATAGCATTCAATCAAAGAAAAGTATCGCCTTCTATCAGTCAACTGCGACCACCGTAACATTTCGCAGCGATCTTCGTATGACATCTCTCCCCTTCGCTGACCTAAGGCCAATCGAGAAGCTCTTCTCTGAACTTTCTCTAAGAGAACAATATCCTTAACTAGGTAAGGGCACCATACAGGGGAAGCGTACTCGAGGATTGGTCTCACAAGAGCCTTGTACAGTGTGGAAAAGATTTCCTTGTTTACAGAACCGATTGTTCGCTTAATTAGACCAAGAACTTTATTGGCCTTATTGACAACCTCGACAACGTGTAAAGACCACGAGAGGTAATGCGAGATTGTGATGCCGAGGTCCTTTACAGAACTCACTGAACTTAGACGTTCTCCACGCGGGACGAGGGAGTAATGTGGGACAGATTTATCACGATTATGTGTAACTCGCATAATTTCACATTTCTTCGCATTGCCAGACCTCAGACCAATTTCTAAGGTGGAATGAGTCGGACTGAAGGATGCTTGTGTCTCTAGCTATGTCGGAGATCTCTCTGTAAACCTTGGTATCATCTGCATACAGTTTAACCGTTGATGAAATACCTGACGAGATGTCATTCACGTATAAAATGAATAAGACGGTTAAAATTTTCTGGGTCCGCATTTAGGGAAGGGTTACAAGTTTTGGGCGCCTTTGGGCGATGTGCGCGTATTAATGGGTTTTGTGTTACTGAAATATAAAGCACTGCTTGAAATACGATGGCTGTGCAAGTAACATTAACAGAATTGCATACTCAAAGCTGAATCGCACGGTTAAAAAGCACTGTGACTGGCTGGATATGAGGAGTGGCTTCCCGCGGAATCGCTTGTAATTTGCTGGACTCTGAAATGGCTTTTAAAACAGCGCACAGTTTTAGGTTGGCTTTGTTTTTTAACCAACGTCTTCGTCATGTGATTTTTCTGTATTATAATACATCTGAATGGCAGATCATTTCGTGAAAGTCTCCTTAAAACAAGCCGGGATCAAAGTGCACGATTAGTTGATGTTATGGTATGATAGCTAAAAATGTATTTTTTCATGTTATGACTAGTACTCGATATCTATTTGTGTTCTTAGTAGGCTTTGAAAGCTATGGAAGCTAATTCTGAGGAAAAATTGCTTTTCTTAGCGGCAAAGTTTAATAGAAATAAAATTTTTACCTTTCATTTACATATACATTTACATATATCATCTTGCAATATCTATAACAGACATATTCGCAAGCTCCTAGATCACCAACATCTTTTGATTGCGGCTTTACAAAGGCCCACACCCATAACAAGTTTATGAACATCACTCGATTTACTTTATTCTGTCGCAGAACATTGTTGCTCTGTGGTAACGATGTTTCTCACGCGCGTAGCCCTTTGGCGTTTAACTTAGCTAGACTCACAGTGGTCTAGTTTATACTAATCCTCCTTTGACAAAACTCAGTCACTCTTAAACAGTAGCAGGAACAGATTGTTTTTCTTTTTCAACAAATGCGACATAGTTTTTGATATGTACAGCATACAAATGTACAGTGAGATTTAACGATTAATCAATAGCCTCATAGTTAAGGTCATAGACCTGTACATCATTGAAAAGCTGAAGCATTCAAGAGGAGCAATAAAGCAAGATAAAATAGATCTCGTAACAATAGATATTGCTACGAAAATGATTGAAGGTTGCGAAGTTCTCGACGAGAGCGATTGCGATGATGATGGTGACGAGGATGACATTGATGATGGCAATGATGATAATCTCTTGAAGGAAATCAGAGAGGATGATAGAGATGATGACATCGATAAGGATTCTAATGGGAACCAAGAGGAAGGTGAATCAGTCTAGGAGGAAAATAATTTTCGGAATCTTTTACAGACCTCGCGATATGGCCGAACTTGCAGGACCTTGAGGGGTAGGGCCATCCTCGGAGACTCAGGGGCAGTTAGTCGAGTCGATAAAATGTTCGTGGTGAAAGTTTTCTGTCAGATCGAGGCTCGTCTCGATCTTACAGAAAACTTTCACCACGAACATTTTATCGACCCGACTAACTGCCCCTGGGTCTCCGAGGATGGGGTAGGGCAGGAGCTGCGGACTTTCCTTGAATAGAGACAATTTTCCTCTTGCTATTTGCAAGTTCTAGTTATTAATATGCACAATTTGTTCACTCTTCAAGTTGAGTAGAAGGCAGGAATTCAATAAGTGATAGTGGGGCTGTCAATGGTTTTCTTTACTTGGTGAAGCTTTGGTTTTTGTAAATATTGTAGATACTAACACTTTTTTTACTAGTCCAATGAAACAATTGTCTCAAAGTTACGCTCATATGGATTCTCCCGATGCAACATTCGAATACTCAAAATGTTGTTACATTGGACGGTTACAATTTTGGGGGGACCGCATTTTTGGAGGGGGCAGGATTTTTGGGCTGTCAGCCAGAGAGGGGCTAAAATCGTTGCGCCCTCGCATTTGAAATAATACCCCCCTACCAATAGTTAATGACCGCATTGTCATTGGCCATTCCCAAACAGTTTTTCAAAGTTTTTGTTATTGGTTACTATTGATATAATGCTTAGAACACAATTTTTCGTTTGAAAAATGTTAAAAGCTGTAATTTTGTCATTATCAGGTGATTTTTCTAGTTTCATAGAGAATGAGGACGTCTTAAACTGTTATTATACACAAAATGAACTCTAGAAAGCTGTGACACAGCCCCTTTAATTTCGTCGAGTGAACATGGGGAGGCATGGACCGTTAAAAAAATATGGGTTTCGATGTGATAAAGTTGAACTACCCAGATCGAAGTGGTCTTTAGTCGTTTCTGGTCGAGATGATTCTTCCCCTATATTTCTTGTAGAAAAGCTTGGAAACACGCTTTGTTTTGATTCGGAAAGTCTTGGTAACCGAGCGTCTTATTCGAATCCTTAGGCGAGGGACCGAAGCTTACGAAGTAACTGGGTGGGAAACTCTTTGATGGTTGCTAGGAGTTTTGGGCTATTGGCCAATCGTAGAGCCGAATAGACAATAGCAATTATTTTTCAAATGCATGCTCAACTGGTAAAATCAAAGCAACCTTCCACTTTCCCCACACGGAGTACGCACATTGAATGAAAAGAAAAATTCAAAGGTTCCAATGATGTCTACCGGTTGTTTGAAACGCGATAGTTAAAATTAACATCTGAGCCAGAAAAGCGGGAATGTTATACTCCAAGAATTAGCCTTAGTGACATGGACGCTTTTCAATTTAAATCACTGCGGAGTTACGGAAACCGCTTTATCGAACGTAAACTCGTGTTTCCAAAGGAAATTTGTACACTTTCATGGAAGATGAAATTAATTCTAGTTTAATATCAAAGCTTGACTTCAATGTTTGAATTTTTTAATAACTAGGATAAAACAAATCATGATTTGTCCAGTAATATTGTTGCTTTCGACGAAGGAGAACGCTTACTATTCGAGTCCCGCGGGACATCCCGCGGGTATCGTTCTGGATGCCATGCGATTTCACGGTTTGGGCGTCATCTACTGACTGGCTGGAACATTTTGCCTCGATCTCATGTGTTCCGTTTTTCTTGCCCGGGAACTGGTATATATATATTTTGTGACACTTGTTTTAATACCATAGATGAAACATTAGCTAGTTTGTGATTGCATCAGGTTTGTTTATCGTTTTTTTCACACTTTTCAATTCTGACCTGTAGTTTCTTTAGAAAGAAAAGCTCCATACTAAGATAATCAGATATGTAGATATTATGTTAACAATATATCTTCACACCTTATTTGGTTTAACTCGCCGTTAAAGCTTCACCAGCTTATATCGACCATTTGATGTTTCAAATACTAACATCTTTTCGCTTTTAAAAGCTGTTTACAGCCCTGTATTCGCGTTTGTTTGACACCATTAGAAAATAATAAAAGTAAAATAGAAGTTGAATGGTGAGACGATAACATTGTCAACGTCTCACTAATTCCGATGGCTTTATAATTTGAAATCAGAGCTGAGTGAGTGGGTCGATCACAGTGCTGGCGCAATGTCACGCAACAAGGGTTTCAAGTCATACTCGACACTTTGACACCTTAATCAATAATCTTTCCAGAGACTCCAATTTTATGTGGCCTAATTTTTAGCCAGTGTTTTGACCATCCCTACAGTGCAAAATAATATTTTGAGGATAGTCAGTGTTTCACCTTCTGTTACTTACTTAGAGGTAATGCCAAGAAATTGTAAAATATACAGGACGTCCGTGCATTTTTGAAATGAAAAAGTGATGAATTGTAAAGTGGGAGGATGAACAATAACACTGATAAATACTGCTACTGAGAATTATATTGATTTTAATTTAACCATCTTACAGGTACATCAAGTTTTACATCCCCTTCAACTGTTCACCCCACCAACCCGGCAATTATCTCCCCTCCCCATCGAACGCACTTTCCCAATTTGCAATTACTACCAGTTTACTGGCCTATAGGCCTTTTTCAAAACTAACATCATACTCTTTGTTGTCCCTCCTAGACTACGAGCAGTCTCTCTTTTTTCTTGGTCCGTCGAGCAAAACGCCGGAGACACGCACCGCCCTCGTTTCTCGCGTCTCGTGGCTTCGCCGCTCAAGGCTCGCGCGCGCGTGCACTCCCCTTACTGAATCTGAAGTAAAAGAGAGACTGCTCGCAGTCTATGTCCCTCCGAGCATTGTTTTCAATTTCTCCTGCGGCGATTGGAATCACCAAGAGAAATTATGAAAAATGCTTATGCAAAATTTTGGAGGGACGACAAAGAGTATTATGGTATTTTTTCCAACAATGCCTTTTCTCAGTTGTTTCAAAGCATCGTCTCTCGCTCATGCTTTTTTGGAAATGAAATTATATGGACATAATATGGACATTTCACCTGTTTGTTCCTGGATTAAGCATTGAAGTCTCTCGTGAGGGTCTCAATGGCTTGGTAGCCGTAAATTTTGAATATTTTGATGGTTGGTGGTTATTACTAGTAGAAATTTTGTCCAAGAGTTCATTCAGACAAATAAATGTTATTTTCTGTATAAATTAATATTGACTTTTGAGTCTTGGAGGTGTTTTTGAAATGTAAGCACGTTGTAAGATCTTGTAATGTCTAGCGAGTGTGTTTTTGAGAAGTACTGAGTTTTACAGTTAAGAGATTCTTCAGGAGCCCGAAGTCCGTGAAGATCAGCTGAAATAATGAAATTTGAGATGCCTGAGAACTTTTTGATAGTTAATATTAATCTGCATTTTTGACGGTTAATAGCCTGTACACAGACGTTGTTTTATTTTCCTGTTCGTTCTTTTCGAAAACTTCGCGAGCGAAGCGAGCGTGCAATAAATCCCCTGCGGTTTATATTTCATCACGCGCGCTCGACGGATTTTGAAGAGAAAATAGAGTGTCTGTGAACAGGCTAGACGGTTAACGGTTACATTTTTTTAAGCCGTTTGACGGCTGACGGTTAACCCTATTTAGACCCCCTTTCATAGCATTGAAGTCTGAGCAATATCTACGCGGATACAGTCTCTGTGTACGATGTGCTTGATTATTTTCACATAGACCATAATTCACTTTATTTTGGGACAAGGAGCGTTATGACCTATGAGAAAATGATGGATTTTGAAGGCGCGCATACGGAAGCGAGCAACTCTCATAGTAGGCCAATGTCACGGCGTTGTTTTCACAGACCGGTCTATTTTTAAATACATTTTAGAGAACTTTTCTCCCACGGAAAAGGATGCTCCGCTCCGTCTATGAGTGCATTCGAAGTATAAGAGAAAACTAGACGACATTTAAAGGTCACAAATAGCATTTTGAGGGCATTAGCTAGCTCGTTGTGGTTTCCTGGATGGGCATAGTATCTTCTTAACAGCTCAACATATTGATCGAGTTTGGTTCCTACCCACGGTTCTTAGGAGAATAAACCACGCGTTTAGCGCCCGCGCCTCTGGGTTCGAAGAGCATGCTCGGTTACCAAGGCTTAACGAATGCCTATCGACTTCTGAATCAAGACAAGGCGTAACACCAGGCTTTTCTACAAGAAATATTGCGGCAGAATTCACCAGAAACGCAAAAGACTACTTCAATGTCAATAATTCAACTTTATGACATAAATATTTAATTATTATCTTGTCGAAACCTATGTTTTGATCCAATGCCTTTTTTAGGTAGCGAGGCAGAGATTACGCACAGTAGGTTGCCCAGTATCCGGCCACTGCAGTTTAACATTACAATAACTTTCCTTTCTTAGTCGCAAGAATTCTGAAATTTGGCCCAGAGACAATCTATTTAGTCCTTAATATGACGAAAGGGAGTTTAATTTTTTTGCCTTTGTTTCCATCGCGAAATTAATATTTTAGCAGAGCTCCTATGTTGCCCAGTATCCGGCCACAACAATAACAACTTAATTGTACATGAATTTCGACAGGCAAGCGACTTATAATTATAAGCTTCTATTGTACTTACAAGGTAGTTTGGCAATCAATTCTAAAAATATAAATCGATCTAGGAACCAAGCATCGCGAAATAAAACATAACAAATGACTGGCGTATGGTGGGGAACGCGAGCGGCTGGTACAAGTTCTTACTTTCTTATCTAGGAACTTTTTCACTGATTTAAGGAACGCATCCGTGGACAAGCCAAAGCCACGGTTTGCAAGCTCAATTAGCCTATCTGCAAACCGGTTTTTTTCTTCATTTTTTGTTGAAACAAGAAGACGCCCGAAGGCGTATACACGGGATGTGTTGGTGTAAGAAAGAATTACCGGTATGTCCAATGGCAATGGAAAGTTGAGAAGTGTATGCAACAAATGTGTGCAGGAGAGACGGAGATGTTCTGTTAAGGAATAATACACTAGAAGATGAGTTACACACAAGGGTTGCTTTGCTACTCAAAACAAAACTTACATCAATATCACCACCATATATGTTAGGAGTATGGGGTAGTTCACTAAAATCTGCATTCCTTTACTAATGTCCTCCAAGAATGCACTTCCACGCTCAACAATAGGGTTGCAAGGCTGTACTCTAGGGAACATTTCAGGGGGCCCTTCGGGCTCCCCAAGCATTTTAGCTGGGGTGCCCGGGCCTCCAAGTTGGTCGCCCAAATTAATAAATCATTGAGCTTATTAAAAATTAAACAAATTATTTTCTTAACAATACAAGCAGAATTTTGTGAATATTTTTTTCATGAAAAATTACATCCCTTTGACCTCCTATCCTGAGCGTGCGAAAAAAAATATCCGCATGTTGTCACATGAAAGTAAGTTTTCGCGCCATATGAAAAATATGGGCAACATCGCCGAATATTTCATGTTTTTTAAATGGAAAAGTAACATTCTGGTCTGTTTATGTATTTTTTATAAAAAAAAATTGGGGTCAAAAATAAGGACACTATTCTCTCTACTTATCAGTTTGATTTACGTTGAAAAGAAAATTCGCTTATTAAGATCTACTGAGATCCCGTGGCGCTTTCCAGGAAAACTGTTATGATTTCAACGAAACCGCGGCGCCCCTGGGGGTGTCATCAAAATAGGTCATCAAAAAATGAATTGCCCCATTGAATGAACAACACTTTACTTTTCACCTACAGTACAAATATCCTGGTACGTTTGCTAACCGTAAATATGAACAACTCTCTTACCCCAAAAATCCGAAAATGCGCGACCCCATTCTAGTAACTCTTTTGAAAATGCAACCCCACAATAGTCAATCCAGTCGTGAAAATGCAACTTCATCCAGCGGCACATCCCCATTAGCCTCTTATACGGTCTTTGAAGGGCAACACGATTCTGATTGGGGCTTCTCTTTTATCAGCCACTTGGGTGTGTGAATCCTCGGACACTTTGGATTCAATGAATTGGCGAATGGTTGACTGCACAAGGTCGTCTGGATAGCGCAGTCGGGAGAAGATCTCTTTAAGGCGTTCACATTCCTCGTGAAAAAAACTTCCACGCAGACGAGAGTTTAAACGCACGGTTAAGCATGGTGTTCAGGAGTGACCGTTTGTATCTGGCGTCAACGTGACTGTGGTAGTGTAGCAGAAGTCCAGTGTCCGTTGGTTTTCTGTAAACCGTGGTGTCTAGGCGGCAACCATTCCTTATAACATTCATTCCGAGAAAGGGAAGCAAATCAGCAAACGTAGTACGTAAACAGCTGGCTGACCTGAGTAGGAAGATCAACGCAGACATCAGCCCAGTTTACACAAGTAGGAAGATCAAAGATGAAATTAAGGTCAAGGAAGACAAGCCGCCTCTTGTGAGTCAACAATGCGTGGTGTATTCTTTCCAGTGTAGCCTGTGTGATGCAGGCTATGTCGGCTACAGGTGCCGACACCTACACCAACGAATTGAAGAACACAAAGGATCGGCAATCGGAAACCACCTCGGAGAGCAGCATGATATGGAGCCTGAAGACATCGCACAAAGTTTTAGAATCTTAAGAAAGTGTCAGAACAAATTTGACTGCCTTATTTTTGAAATGTTTTTTATCCAAGAACTGAAACCGACGCTTAACAAACAGTGCGATTCAATTCGCGCCAAATTATTTGTTTAGAGTAGTTCTTGTTAACATTGTTTTATTTCCATTGTTTTTTGACTTTATAAATATTTTTAGCACTTTTTACATTTTTACATATTTTATCACATTTTAGCGTTCACCACATTTTTATCTATTATAACTTGTTTTTAACTTATTTATGCTAATTTAGAGAACTTTTATACACTTGAAAATGACCTCGGAGAGGTCGAAACGTCGTGATTTTTTATCGCTAATATTTATCTCAAAATCGATTTCTAAGAAACTACTTATTAAGATTTTTCGAGGAAGAAAGAATTATTATTTTGGCTTCCCCGGGGTTTGAACCGACTCACCTGTGTGACCCGTCAGGTCAGAGGAGACTCTAAGTTGAGGGATTAGCCGATTGCGCTACTGCGACCCAAGGTAGTTTGGGATATGAAAAATAGTTATGAAATTATGCAGTAGTTTCGGGACAAGATTGGGCGTGCAAGTTCGCGACTTTTCGGCTTGTTTCGGCTATTTCACGAAATGAAACCGCACTACTTTGTGATATCTAGAGATCACTTCGAGTTTAGTCTTTGATTTACTCGAGGAATAAATAGAGAATATTACGTGGCCGCGCAGAGACACGAAATTTCTCTTCGAGTGTTGAAAAACATTTCACGAGTGAGCCCTCCTTTCGAACTGCTTTATGATGAATTTAAAGTTACAAAATGCTGCACAAAGACATTTTGTCTTTGTTGAGTGTTACGTAGTAAAATTGCTTTCATGCGTTGCGCGACTTTCTCGAACGTTCTCTACTTTTTTGGATTATTCATGAATAATTGATTAGGGCATGTTTACATTTCAGCATGAGTCAGCAGATTTGCATCAGTTACTGAAATCATAAAATATGTCGAAAAGCTACTACTATTCGCCCGTTTAGTATTTTCTAGAACGTTATGTCAAACGGTATACAAGTTCCAAGCGAGGTCTTTTGACGAACTAAGTTTTTTTCTCACGAGCTGGACTGCTGTGTTTAGTCAAGTATGACGAAGGCCGATTTTCAAGTTTTGTGTTTACAAGTTGGCGGAAGCCGTAAGATATCTGAAGTTCAAGTGAAAGTTTGTTATTATTGGTAGCGGCTGTTTAGTTGTACTTAAGTTCAAGTCAAGTTTGTGATGGCGGATGCTGTGTTTTATAGCTCTGAAAAGGCTATGTTCCTTTGGTATTAAACTTCCTTGTGTTAATCCGACATTCCTGCGTGCTGATGGTCAGTGAATAATTATGTCCTCAAAATATTCGAACTCGTAACAGCCAATTCCATGCTCAACGTAATTGACTCCTTACCCATGCCTTACTTATCTTTAATCAGTACATGAGACTGCTATGCTGTTTTTGAAGCCTGATGTGACTAAGAATGAGAACTCTTTTTTCACTGTTTGTTTTGTTAGACTTGTTATTCACCGCCAGTAACCACCTCATATTTGACTTAGGTCTAAACTTTTAGACCCAAGTCAAATTTAGAAGGATTTGTATGGAGTCATCAGAGCATAACTGGGCTAATATCTCAGAGACAATTTGTCCCGAAATGCTAGTTTTTGGCAAGTAGGCCTCTTGGATGTTGCTCTTTTCAGAATATCCTGACAAATCCCATAATTTCACAAATTAACACCTTACTCTTACCATATTTCATTTCTTACTATTCCTCCGCGTTTACAATTAATCAGTTCCACAACCACGACGCCGAAGTGTACGCTCCGTAGCGTCTTGTCTTTTCATATTATGGGTGAAATGCTCAGGACAAATGAGCTTTTGTGGATCCGGTTAGCTTTTGCGTATTTATTTTTAGTACGTGATACGTAATGCCTTGGCACGACTCGAAAGACTGCGGGATTTTATAGACTTATACCCGATTCTGAAACAATCACAATAATAGTCGTCTCTTTTCTTTTTTATACATCGTATTTTACTGGAATAACAATGTTAGTTATGTTTTAGCCTCGCAGACACAGCAGTGAAAAAAAAAGGTAAAAATATTTTAATTAACAAATAGCGACTTCCGTGTTTATTCAGCGATTTCTCAAAATACAAAACTATTGTTTTGCGTCGCCGACCGTAGTTTACGCCTGTCAGAGCAAACGTAACAATTTGTTTAGAAAAACTAATGAACCATCCTAATTTGAAGAAAAAATTTCTATGTTATTATGAAAAGCTGTTACTATCGAAAACTGTGCTGCTTGTCACGTTCATAGTCAAGGATTATGTTACATGTGAATTCACGTGAAACGACCTGTGAACATCAACGCCTGCCCGCTGCCCGATTTAACAACATTTTCTTAAAGCTTTTTGATAGACATGCTACATATTGCTACTTACAAGTCGACCTCAAGAGTTTCTTAGCGAGCGGAGCGTTCTTTTTTAGGCCGCGAAGCCACCGAGCGAGCTACGATTTCCCAAGTAATAAATTCTAGACATTCTTAGCTTTTTGACTGTAAATCAACAGAATCAAGAAACCAACACCAGCAAGTCGCTCGGCTGGGGCACCTAGACAATATTTTTAGTCGCCCGGGGTCCACGTGATTTGAAGTTGCAGCCAATAAAAATCTCACAATTTTTCGGGAAGGGCACGAATACGGGAAAGTTAAAAAAACAAGGCAAGTTTTGACTCCCAAGACGACGAAAGGAATGCGCTCCCGAATTTAAGACCCTGGCTGACTACGTCATCCCGCGTAAAAAATAAAAATTAAAAAATATGGCGTAGGGACCTCAATCCGACGGTCAAAGGTCACTCTCCTATTTAGTATGACCTGAGTTAGTGTTGATTTCTTCATGCTCAGTTGCCACATTTGGCCTGCTTTTCTAACCCTAATTCCTCCTTCTTTAACATGTCGCAATCCCTTTGAGACATTTTTCAGACCGTTGCAACCCCATTCTAGTAGTCACAACTGGGGAAAGTATGAGAATTCCCGGTTCAACTCCGACCCTTCCCGTTATTTATAGAAAATTCAGTCACCCGAAACAAGCCGTGCACACGAAATCAAGTCGCCTTGAACTGAGTGAAGAAAATTTCGATAAGGAGTTGAGTAGAATTACATTTTACGATTATGTCATATGTCCCAAGCTTTCATTATAGTTACAGATATGAAATAATCTTATCCGGATAATGTACGCAGCTAATTAATCGATTCTGTACAGCAAAGAAAAAACTGGCCGGATATTGGGCACCTGACATCAATACTTAGTGAATGTTTCTGGCCTCCGTTATTCCAAACAAATTGAATATCAAGAAGAATTCATAAATTTTCTGAGAACTTAACTTCTTTAAGTATCTTCACTTTAAAATAAAACAGTTTCTTTGAAAATATCACATATTGCCAACCCATTTCTGAACAGCTCTAGTTTTGCTGCGCAGTAAACAGAGCATAAATACTAGCCATGAAATTAAAGTGTACTAACCTGAACAGAACGGCGCCTTCTGCAACTGTTTCGCAAGCTGTAAACTCGCCAAAAGCTGCAACTAAAAGCTGAAATGTTCAGCTTTCATTCGAAATACTTTGTTACCGAGAACTGAAAAGGGCGCCTCAGAAACTGAGTTTTTGTTTTAAGTGGCCGGATACTGGCCGGATACTGGTATCAAGCCCCCCATTACTTCCGTTCCATTAGGTCAAGAACGAATGTTCTTATGATGTTTCTCATACGTTTCTCTTTTTGTGTGTGCCAGTAAAAGATTTGTTATCTAAAATAGTATGATGTTGTGCTTCATGTTCTTGTCTTCATATTAAAAACATCTTAAATGTATTTTATTTATGATTTTGAAAAGTAATGTTTGAATTTTGTTACCTTTTCTGATAGGGATGCATTACTTTTGTCTCTTATAGTGTACTCAAGACAAGCATATGTATGACTGAAAGTGGCAGCAATGACTATGCCCCATGTTGGGGATGATGATCTGTATCATTATATGCACGAAATTATAGAGAAAGAATTTCCGAAGGCATTACGTCAAGCCCTCAAAACTTTATGGGATAACAAATATGCACTTATATATGGACCCTTTGATAGCGCTTGTCATCGGTTCAGGCTCTTTCATGCTCTTAACTCGAACACGTTGATATGGCTTTTCCCGAATCAAGTTTCCTCTGCCTTTCAACGTCCTTCAAATCCAGTTTCTTCGATATCATTCGAAGACTTGGATCTTGTTGAATTGAAAAATGTTATACTAGACGACGTTTTTCCCGGGCGGAACCCTTATCTTTCATTCGACATCCCGTGGAAATTGTTTTCAAGGAACCCAGAGATACCAGACGTAGACAAAAGATTGTTTGCTACTGCTATTGATCAACTGAGGGCTATAAAAGCAGAACATGTTAATGGCAAGGGAATCATGAACCCTCAATTATTAAAGCGACAATTAGCACAGGCAAGAGGGGTATTTGCGGCCTTTAACGTCACTCTGAATGACTCAAAGAATACATTTGATTTTTCAGCAGCTGGACTACAGAATTTAATGTCAGGTAAGTACGTGTACTATTCTGCACTTGCCCTTGTTATTCTGTAAGCATGAACATTAATTTTTATAACATGACAAAAGTAGAGCGTGCGCTCTGATTGGTCGGTTAGCCATGTACCATTTGCCCATTGGTGCATGCTAACGAAAAGCTAGCTTGGTGAAATTGAGGCAAATTGAGCAAATATCCTCACTAAACAGTCTTATGAGTCAAAAATATGCACCCGGTAAAGTATACAAATGACAAGTAAAACTTGAAAAGTTACTTTGTTGTCGCTTTGAGGGAAAATGAAAAAGTCAAGCAACAAATTTTCCTTGGTAGATTTCATCCTTGTTTATCTAGCCTGCGTGGCCGGCGTTGAAAGGGGAAGGGGAAGGGGGAATTTGGGCGCGCGCGCCGGCCACGCAGGCTATTGTTTATCCTGCGCGGCGGAGAGCTCAGGAGAATAGCGAAATGTGCGAAGTTTTTAAAGGTTTTAACGCCCGGTAATTGAAGTACATTTTGTACGTTATACTAGAGAAAATTACGTTTTGAAATGGGTATGCATCAATTAGAATTGTGTTCTTACTTTTTCAGTCAAGTTGATGTTAAATTCAAGCAAATATTTTAGGATACGTGCCCAGATTCGAGACAGCTTTGTTGTGTAGCTTTGGTTCAATTTTAGCTGAGAGTAGGAACACATGACGCTGGAATGGTAGTGCCAATAAATTTTTCAAAAAAAAGACTTCTCTGATTATTATATTGTTCGGATCCGAGATCACTCGGATCATGGTAGATCAAATGAACCGATGAATCCTTGTCCGGAGTGGATTCATTGGTTCATTTGATCTACCATGATCCGAGTGATCTCAGATCACTGATCCTGATCCGAATCATCCCAAAGGAACGAACCGTTTATCCATAACAGTTGAAAGCACGGTCGTAAGACAACAGCATCTAAATTGTTCACGAATCGCTTTAGCGCACTTTTTGTAGGCAAATTTTTGCAATTTTGACTTTCAGCTCCGTTCCCCTGGACAAATTTCGATTCGAAGCTATTGTAATTAATTTCTTTTGAAAACTAGCGTTATTACCTTTTATTCTAAAGGGGATACAGTAATTTTTCTTATTTCTACTTTAATTTTACTGCGTAACGTATTTGTTACGCAATTCATAAATTACCGTATTCTAAGTCGCACAGTTTTTGAGTTGCTGTTTATCGCTGCAGCTACGTACTGTTTTCCTCGTAGCATTTGCCCTAACATCAAGGTAACATCAAGAGCAAGTAGACAGACGCCATTCACATTAACGACGAAAAACGTTTTGCAATTTACCTTAAGACGGAGAACAGTTAATTTGGCGAAGAAAAACGTTAAATGCAAGTTTCAGACGTTTTTGAAAGGCATGATGTGTTTTCACACTAGCAGATGACAGTATTCATGTTTTCTCTTTTGATTATGTTGTAAAAGAAATTAGAAGACGTTGCAGCTGTGCAACAATCGAGTTATGAATGCACTTGGAAGGTTCGCACTCTTACGCTTCTTTCGTGCTTAGCCACCTGTTGCGTGGCCATAACTCGATGGGTGTACGCTGCACGTTTACCATTTCTTAATGGGTCTTAATTGGTTGTCTTTTGTTGCGGTCAGATTATAACAACTGCAACAAAATACTAAACTGTTCTGGATGACAGAGATTAAATCCGCTCTACATGTTCAAAGGTACTACCAAAGATAGAACTCCTCTATAACAAGTTGCATCAAGTAACTTACATTGCCATTAGTGATATGTCGCTGGAGTTTTGAAAACATGACTGCGTATGTCCTTGTTATTCCAACAGTTACTGTCTATGAATCACGAGTAATTTCCTTAAAAACAAATGACGCTTTGGTAGATTTTATTCCAAACCAATAAAACTCCAACAGTAACGGGCTTGAAAACCGATACACTAGCCAAGCAAGCTATTCTCACCGGTGAAAACACGCACAAAAACCTAAATTAGCATCAATGCACTACCTGACAGTCAGAGCGTGGCCTGAGAGAATACACGGCATACCTTGTCCCTCAGTTTAAAGAGCAGCCTGCTTAATTATTCAGCTAGTTCTTGTAGAGTTTAGGTCACGGCACCCTCGATAGCAGTTCTCGCCCCTCCCTCTGCCGCAGCTATGGGACATAACTCGTGTTCTCTCCTGGTTCACCAACTCGCAAAGCCTCGGGCCGATTCTCCCATATCTTATGCATTTAGGCTCATTTGGCTTTGTGTGCGGGTGTTCCGGGTGAGAACATGTAAATATTCGGACTTCAAAACCGAATGCTTCAACAAAGTTTCAATTCTCTCAAGAGCACGCTGTCATCAAAATCTGTTCTCAATCAAAAAACTACTCAGTTCAAATGTCACATAATCACGTGCTCCAAACGTGATCGCCTACATGTAAGTCTAAAAATGTCATGCACGACGACACACTCCCCCCTTGACTAGTCGAATCACTGGTCAGTACAGTCAGCGTTTTGATCTGCAAGACGCGTAGGTCGCCTGACTCCTTCAATCCTCTGCTCCTCCTGGGGTTGTTTAACGTCAATCAGGTACTCCAAGGGAAACAGCCTTTGAATTGGCCTCTTCATAGTGGCAGGTCTTCTACTCTTACTGATAACCTTGACTACAGCAGCTCTAACGCAATCGTCTCCACCAAGGATCAACTGCTCTACTTGGCCAAGCTTCCACTGCTACGGAGCAGATTGTCTTCGAAAACGGTAACAACATCTCTCACAGATACAGCAATGCTGAATCTAGGTCTGGTTTTCTGCCGATGCAGGTTCCTTAACTCTGTAACATACTCTCTGCTCCAGCGCCTCCAAAATTGCTCCAGTAGTAATCCCAGGTATTTTCGTCTCTTTGGGAGATCCTCCGACGACACTGTATGGTCAACTGAGGCTTTTCGATTTCCTGTCACCTCCGGCAGTGATAATATTCGTTTTCCGAACATCAAGTGACTTGGTGTCAACGGTTCTTCAGGATCATCTGACGATATGTAAGTTCAGGGTCTAGAGTTAAGAGTTCCCTCAACCTCGACTAGAACAGTGCGCAACTCATCGTAGTTTAGCCTAGCATTCCTAAGTGTCTTCCGCAAACGTCTCTTTGTATTCTAAATTAATCGCTCAGAAAAGCCACCCCACCAGGGAGCTCGGTCCACATTAAATCTCCAGTCCATCCTTTTACTGGCCACGAATTTCTTGACTCTTGGGTAAGAAAATAACTCACTCAAAGTTTTAGCTGCAGTTTTAAACGTTTTGGCATTGTCTGAGATAATCAGTTCTGGTAAACCTCTTATGACTCTGAATATCCCCAGGCAACGAATAAACACATCAACTGACAGGTCCAAAGCAAGCTCCAAATGTACTTCTCTCGTGAAACAGCAGGTGAACAGGAGAACATACACCTTCTGTAACTCTGACTGTCCTGACACCTTAATTTACAAAGGTCCAGCATAATCTACGCCGACATAAGTGAAGGCAGGTTTTCTGGCTAAATCTAAACTCGGGCAACTCACTATGAGTAGGCTTTCTGTAACTTTCCCCTTCATATCTGCGACAAACTGTATACTAGCTAGCTAGTGTTTTTTTTTTAAACAAACTGTCGTCCCTTGAAAATCCAAACTCTGCTCCTCAACTGGGCTAGTGTAGCTTCTATCTTGTTGTGATGTACCCTTTCATGAGCGTCTCTCACCAACAGAGTTGAAAGATAATGATTCTTTGGCAGTAAGGCCGGGAACCTCGTCTCATGGGGTAAATCGGCATCAGCAATTCTCCCCTTACATCTAAGTACTCCACAACTGTCTTTGTGCAAACCAAAGTCTCGCTCTAGTTGACTGTAATTTGCTTGGGACTTTAATTCTTTCTGGACTCTCCTTAACCTCCTCAGTTCAACATTTCCAATTTCTTCTGCACTGATCTCTCCCAACTAAACAGTTCCTTATTTCAGTAACTTGGCCTTGATTTTAAAAATTTTTCACAAAGCGCAACACCAAGGCTGTAATACGAAACAGCTTGTCACAGGAGCTGAAATCTGTACTTGGAATTAAAAGTGTCTATACTGGGTGTCCCATTTTTAGTTAACAATACTGCTTCACCCGCAGCCTCGATAGCTTGGCCTTTCTTCAGCTCTAAGCAACACTCCTCGGTAATTATTTTAAAACATTCTTTAAAACTGGGCCAGTTTTTCATGGGCTTTGACAGCCACGATGGTCCTTTCCAACGAAGCACATTACCCTTTAACTTGGCGGCACCTTCTCCGCGAGATCGTATGTCTGCCGGGTTTTCAACATCTCGGCAATGGTTTCACATTCTCTGTTCAGCTAAAGACAAGATTTTGTTAACACGATTTTGGACAAACTGCTTCTACTCCTTCCAACCCTTTATCGAGCAGATTGCAGTCTGCTGTCCAACCACAAGTGTGTCTTGTCAATTGCAATCTGTTGCGCCAAGGCCTCTTTAACTGAGGACACCAATCTTACTAAGATGACCCCAGACAGTAACTCGAGTCTAGGGATTGACTGCCTTGTCAGCAGTGCCACTCTGGTTTTGGATTACAACAAAACAGGAAAATAATCACCTCTCACTTCAAGAACCAATTTGCAGCACAATATGCTTTCTCTGAAGCGTTCCTAAACCCATGAATAGAATACGACGTAACACCTTCCTCTAATCCAGCATACACACACCTCGGCATTAGTACCTGCTGCACATCTTTTAAGTTCCTGAAGCCACCTGTTCCACTGTTTCCGGGAAGACTCTGGGAATGGTGCATCCCACTCAAACTTCTCCTGACAAAAAGACTGAAACAAAACGTTCGTTTCCACCGGCGTTGGACCAAGTACTCCAAGGGGGTCCGAAAAACTTGAAGTAATCTTTAACAAATTGCTCCTGGTCGGTTACAAACTTTCTGCAAGTCTCAGTAAGGCTTCGAATTTGAAAATGGAACTCATCAGTAACACAGTCCCAGTAAAGGTGGTCCGAACCTATTTATATGCGAGTTGGTTATGTTTTTAAATATAGTTTTTCGGCAGAAATAATTTCACCTATTTCTGTGATTTTGGCAACTTTAATAAAGAATGGTGAAACTTTTAGCATTGAGACTTGGACTATCGTTGCTGGGCTTTGACGACGCAGCAAAAACAACACGAAGTTTAGTTGCAAGGGCCTCCCTGAATAACACCCCATTATGAGGTAAATAATACGCCCTTCCAACATCAGGACGCTTGGCACTGTTTTCTTGCTCAATTATACCACTCTGCAACTGATCTTGTAAGATGGAGTCATAGTCTACAAAAATCTCTGGATCCCTTTTAAGACGTTTAAGCTGCGAAGCCAATCTTGCAACACAGTTCTTAAAATTATCTGGTAACAGCCGATGTTGCTCCTTCCAAGGTAAGTGGACAAAATACTTGCAATCTTCAAAGTTCAAATTCTCTTCAAAGGTTTCACGAACAGTATCCTTATGTCGTATGCCAACAGAATCCAAATCCCATACTTGCAGCGTATCTTTAACAACTCTTGACTCCGTTCTCAGGGCACACATCAGCAAGTTCAATGTCTTTTAAGCTAGGATACTTCTTAACTCATTCCAAATATTGGCCTTGTAAATCGTTACAAATCTGACGAGAGACTGCAAATGCATTCAGTGTTATTTTTAAGTCTGTTTCTGATTTGGTTATAGAAAGTTCGACCAGGTTGACAGCTTCCAGCTCTTGTTTTTGATCCCTAAATGTTGCAATTTTCAGTCTTTCTGCCTTGACAGGTCTTAATTTCAAGGCATTTACTACCTTATCAAAAATCGCACTTACAGTGAGACTATGAGATTGTTCATTCCAAGGGATTGAGACATTTACCTGAGCCGTTTGTAAGAAAACATGCATCCCAGAACTTATGATCATGAGTAACGCGGGTGAGTCTCTGCGATTATTACTGCTGTCTCCAATACTACTATTACAAACTGCCAAATGATGACAGCCATTGTACCTAAAGCACTGGATTTTGGTGTCACAGTTACGGGCTAGGTGCCCCCCACGACGCAAGCAATTATAACACCTCCCTTGTTTCTTCAGAATTTCTCTTCTTCCATCAAGATTTGTCACAGCTTGGTACTCAGACGCTCGGTGATTTCCATTGCAAAAGAAACAGTTTAACTCCCCCTGACTTCTAGTTAACAATGCCCTGCCAGTCTATCCATTCCCTGAGTTAAACGATTTCTTTGAGGGGATTTTTTTGCTCCACAGATTTATTCAAACAACCCCTTTCACGGGCCTCACTTAAGGTTTACAGAAGTTAGCTCCCAGTTATCCTTATGTTCCCTGCTGACTATCAATCGAAACTCTTCCGGTAATTTCTCTATAGGTATTAAAAGAGTTCCATACTGTGAAGAATCAATTTCCACAGCTTGTAAACCTCTAACCTGAATATCCAAATTATTGAGAACAGCTCAGATTTCCTTAACGTTAGGCGTTGCATTTACTGGTTGTAGTTTAAGTCACGCTTCCATGTGAGAACTAATAATTATCTGCTTGTTTCCAAATCATTCGGTTAAGATTTCAATAGCCTCCGTATAGTTCCGTTAAATTACTGGTAATTTAGGGCTGGGACATGTAAAAAAGGCTTCGAAGATAACTAAACTTGTCAACATTTGTCAGCAAAGCGTTTCCATATACCGCAGATGAAAACGATTCGTCGATTACAGTTAAAGTCGATTCTTCCAAAGCCTTTAAGGTCGCTAATTTGTCATTGAGCGTAATAGTTATCCGTTTTACCTTTTCTTTACTTTAGTGGTATTAGACCCATCGTAATTCATGAGAAGTTTATCAACTGTTTCAAGAACTTTCCTTGTGTATTAGCGATGCCCTGCACGTATTTTCAGGTTCTTCGCTAGTTTTCCAGGCATAATACTGAGCTAGTTCTCACTACAAATCCCGCTCTTGGGACCAAATTAAATATAGTAGATTTTATTCGAAACCAATAGAACTCCAACAGTAACGGGCTTCAAAACCGATACACTGGCCAAACTATTCGGACTTCAAATCCGAACACTAGTCTTAGACAAAATTACAATTCTCTCAAAAGCGTGCTATCATCAAAATCTATTCTCAGTCAAAAAACTACTCAGTTCAAATTAGGCTCACCTACATAATTCCCGAAATGTGACTTCAAATTCTTTCCGGAATTTCCCCGAAAAAAGGGTCTAAATTCTTTTAGAAATGTCTAAAATTCTCCAAAAGCTCTCCAAAGTTCCCAAAAATTTTTCAAAAAATTTGGGTTTCTTTTGAGATAGCAAGGGCCCCTTTTGGTGAATAACCGCTATTACGTTGTAGTACAGATGACTCTGACGAAAAACCGCTGATTTGTTGTGCTCAGAGGACAGTGCTCTAGACACTGCTGTAGCTTGTGAGCGGACGAAGCCCTCGTCTCTTGGTAGGTAAGCAAAAACGTTTTCTCGACGTTTTTGCCTATGAAATGTTGCCAAAATGTCAGGTGAATATTCAAATTCTTCAGTTTTTCATTTTCTTTCTAACCTTCCCGAGATTTTTTAAAATTGTTTTTGATATCTAAAATCCTCCCCCCCCCCCCCAAAAAAAAAAAACTAAGCCTAGTTCAAATGTCACATGATCACGTTCTCCAAACGTGATCGCCTACATGTAAGTCCAATTTGTCTTGGAGACGCAATTTAACAGGAAAACTCCGTGACAGATGCAGAATAGCAAACGCAAAAACGCAGGATTCAGTTCATGTACACCCCATGTGACTTGCTCAAAGCGTTAATAGATGGGTGGAGAGCATGGCGAGTAATGGGTGGTTGGAGGCCATTATCACGACAAAATTATCAGTTCGTCTGGTCAGGGGAAGTGTACATTTTTATCTTAGAAAAGTCCTCGCACATAAGGGACTTCTCGCAGAGCAATAGAAGGAAAAATATCTCTTTAATTAGTCGTGGCTCATACTGGGACTCGTCAACCTGAACATATCTCGCATTTGAACGAAAAAAAACTCAGAAGACAACTGTGAAACCTCAAATGCTAAGAGGCGCGCCCTAAACACACATACTGGACATTTTACGGGGATAATCTCCAAGCATTTTCACTTCTCTGTTGTTCTAGAGTTACAGTGAAGCTTAAATTTGATATGCTTATATGTAACCCTTTGAATACCGAATTTAGGTGGCGAAAAAGAAAACGCATTTTCTTTCCAACATCTCCTTTTCGCATCGGTTTTCCGCCAGTACAGTAGTTACCATGGAAATGGCTAAAAATGAAATCTTCAGTTATTGTTTGTTTTGTTTTTGAAATGGAAATTGTTGGTTATGCTGACATCTGTTTATAAATGGTCTGTCTTGTTTTATTATTTTTATTATTTTTTTTAATTTCAGAAAGGAGTGCAATGCAGTCGCTTGAACCCCTGTCCCGTTTTTCAGAGCATAGTAAGTGAGTCGCTCCTATATGTGAAGGGGCTACTTTTGCTTGAAGAATAACCACTACCAGCCTTTCGCGCACTTGGAATTTATTTCTACTTGACAAAAGGAAATTGAATCGTGGCGTCCGAATGTGTCGTCGAAATAGTCAACTGAAAATTAAATCAATATTTAATACAAGAAAAGGTTACTATACAAATCAATTTTTGTTGAAGCGATGACAGGCAAATTTTAACTTACAATTTGTGTATGCGGCTTTAAAGTATGCTTCACAACTTGGATTCCTGATCGGTGACACTTGGAAATGTAAGTTACATAACGAATATGCTTCTATTAAACTAGTTATAGCTATCGCTAAGTACCAACGAGCAAAGATGTTACCTATACGCGCGCGCTGTTAAATTTGTTTAGAAATGTCACGAAATACAGTAATTGACGAAAAATAAATCTAACTTAATTCGATTGCATTGAAATAGTGCAAACGTAACGCAAGGGGCACACATACACCAACCCACGGCCAGACCAGTACGTCACGCATGTGCACAGCCATATCACGCGGGCAGTGACAGCCACAGACAGCTGTTTCGCCCATGTTGGGTCCCACCGGCGTGTCATAGCTGTTGGGTTAATGAATAGGGAAGAGGAGAACCCGCGTCTCAAAAATCCCATACTGCCGAGGTGTGTGCAAAGAAGTCTATTAAGCGCCAGCTCCACACAACACATGTGGGAGCTGTTGGTTGGGAACTGCACAGCAGTTCTACCACGACATGCGCGGGGAAGGTGGATCACGAGTTACCAGTAAAAGCAAGGGGCACACATACACCAACCCACGGCCTGTTCATAACCTCAGGCATGCGCACAGCCATATCACGCGAGTAGTGGCAGCCATGGAAACCTGTTTCGACCTTATCAGTTGCCGAGGAAAACCCGTGTATTTTTTTTTGTTTCGAGGAGGGCATACATGACAGAGTGCAATGCCAAGTCACCGATTTAACAACAAAGAACACAGACACAGCACTGTACGACACCATAGTATACATTACAGGTTAACATGCCTCCGGATGTGTGCACAAGCACACCAAAAGTCGCCGGGGTAATGAGCCCCGCCACCCCTTACACAAGTACGTTACTGGACAAGCCCGACAGAGGGCAAAACAGCACAAGCGGCCAAGTTAAAAGACACGAGAGGCGATAGCTAAGCACCAACTAACAACAGACACAAGACCGGGAAGGACTCCACGAAGCTGATGGCGCGCTATGAGATGGAGAAAAAGGGCCAGGCAACAACGCAGGGGACCAACATCCAAAAAAAACCAACAAAGAAACAAGGGCTAACGGCAAACGACAATCTGGGAGAAACCCTACGAGGCTGATGGCGCTCTATATGGTGAAATAAAAGGGCCAGGTAGAAACGCAGGGGGCCAACACTCAGCAAACAACAAACAGAGCTTATAAGTGAACTACTAAACGACCATCAACAACAGACGCAACGACACCACGCGCACCCCACTGGCGGACAAAAAAGCGACGGAGACGAGCAGAAAGAGAGCGTTTAAAAAACAGCGGAAGATAGAAACGGACGCGGACCCGAACCTTTGCCAGTACATCAGCGGCGATTGGAGCAACATCACGAAAACGATAATCGTTACAGGCCTGCGACAAGAAAAACGTACAGACATTCAGCATGTAAACAAAGATGCAAGGGACGCAGAAGAACTCATCCTGGTTAAAGCCAAATAGAACGTGACGGCATGCTAGGGACGGAACAAGAGCAGAACAACGAAGCAGAAGAGCTTGTAACCAGGACAAAATAGACTGTGCAAGGGGGCAGTAGAAAAACAGGTGGTCAAGGGTCTCTAAAACTGCAGGACTACAGAAGCAGGCGAGCGGGAAATCTACCATGCCAAAGATAATCACCAGACGATGGGCCGTGCGGAGAACTCCATGCGACATTACCCATGCCAGATCAGTCACAGGGCGGTCCACAGGGAACCGAAACAGCTGGTCCCATGTAGAATGTTAGTGCAAAGCCCCCAAAACAGGGGCGAAATGACAAACACAATTTGGAGTGGTTGGCTATAAGAAGAGAGTACACCGACTTGGTGGTAGGTTCGGCAACCGCAATAGGAGACTCACAAGAGAAAGAACCCACGACTTAGGACTCCCGAGTGACCGAGAAAGAACCCTCGGCAGCGACCCATGCGGAGAGAAGGCCGCGATAAAACGGAGGCAAAGACGATAGATCATAAAGGTAACGGCGTGAGAGAACCACACCTGGCAAAGAACCGAAGGCTTTGCGGCAATAATAGAACAAGAATTGCATCCTGCATGAAAAAGAAGTAACAAAACGTCTAACCCACTGGACATGGAGAGCCCAAACCTTAAACTGGACAGACACTACTCCAAAACCACCAGAACCATGAGGTTGGACGACAACGTGAGCTCCCCCTCCCCCCCTCCCGGAATTATGTAGCAAAAACCTAGTTCAAATGTCACACGATCGCATGCCCCAAACGTGAGCCAGAAATGTCACGCACGACGCAATGTATTAGAAAAACTCCGGGACAGACGCAGAACAGCAAACACAACGACGCAGGATTGAATTCATGCACCCCCATGTGACTTGCTCAAAGCATTAATAATTGGGTCTAGAACATGGCGAGTGATAGGTGGTTTTAGGCCATTATCACGACAAAATTTTCCGTTCCTTTGGTCAGGGGAAGTGTACATTTGACATAGAAAAGTCCTCGCACATAAGAGACTTCTCGCACAGCAGTAGAAGGGAAAGTACCTCTTTAACTAGCAGTGGTTCATGCTGGGACTCGTCAACCTGGACATATGTGGAATTTGAACCAAAAAACTCAGAGGACAACTGTAAAACTTCATATGCTGAGAGGCTCGCCCTAAACACACATACGGGACATTCAGTACCCTGATAATCTCCAAGCGTTTTTACTTCTTTGCATGTTGTTCAGTAGAGTTACAGTGAAGTATGCGTTTGATGCGCTACATATTTAACCCTTTAAATACGGAATTTAGGTCGCGAGAAAAAAAGCGCAGTTTCTTTCCAACATCTCCTTTTTAGATCTGTTTCTGCCATAACAGTAGTTAGCATGGAAATAGCTAAAAATGAAATCTTCAGTTATTGTTTGTTTTGTTTTTGAAATGGAAATTGTTGGTTATGCTGAGATCTGTTTATAAATGGTCTGTCTTTTGGATATTTCAGGATCTGATTTGTTGTGCTCAGAGGACAACGCTCTAGACACTGCTGTAGCTTGTGAGCGGACGAAGACCTCATCTCTTGGTAGGTAAGCAAAAACGTTTTCTCGACATTTTTGCCTGTGAAATGTTGCCAAAATGTGGGGTATTCTCCAATTTCATTTGCTTTCTAAACTTCCGGAGATTTTTTAAAATTGTTTTTGATATCTAAAATCCTCACCTCCCCCCCCCCAAAAAACAATTCCTGAATTATGTAACTAAGCCTATTTCAAATGCCACATGATCACGTGCTCCAAACGTGATCGCCTGCATGTAAGTCCATTTTGTCGCGCAGGCGAAATTTAACAGGAAAACTCCGTGACAGATGCAGAATAGCAAACGCAAAAACGCAGGATTCAATTCATGTACACCCCATGTGACGTGCTCAAAGCGTAAATAGATGGATGGAGACCATGGCGAGTAATGGGTGGTTGGAGGCCATTATCACGACAAAATTATCAGTTCGTCTGGTCAGGGGAAGTGTACATTTTTATCTTAGAAAAGTCCTCGCACATAAGGGACTTCTCGCAGAGCAATAGAAGGAAAAATACCTCTTTAATTAGTCGTGGCTCATACTGGGACTCGTCAACCTGAACATATCTCGAATTTGAACGAAAAAAAACTCAAAAGACAACTGTGAAACCTCAAATGCTGAGAGGTGGCCCTAAACACACATACTGGACATTTTACGGTGGTAATCTCCCAAGCATTTTCACTTCTTTGTTGTTCTAGATTTACAGTGAAGCTTAATTTAACACTTTGAATACCGAATTTAGGTCGCGAAAAAAACGCATTTTCTTTCCAACATCTCCTTTTTGGATCGGTTTTCCGCCAGTACAGTAATTAGCATGGAAATGGCTAAAAATGAAATGTTTAGTTATTGTTTGTTTTGTTTTTGAAATGGAAATTGTTGGTTATGCTGACATCTGTTTATAAATGGTCTGTCTTGTTTTATTATTTTTATTATTTTTTTAAATTTCAGAAAGGAGTGCAATGCAGTCACTTGACCCCCTGTCCCGTTTTTCAGAGCATAGTAAGTGATTCGCTCCTATATGTGAAGGGGCTACTTTTGCTTGAAGAATAACCACTACCAGCTTTTCGCGCACTTGGAATTTATTTCTACTTGACAAAAGGAAATTGAATCGTGGCGTCCGAATGTGTCGTCGAAATAGTCAACTGAAAATTAAATCAATATTTAATACAAGA